CGCCGCGACAGCGGCGCCACGCCCGCCACGCCCGCCGCGCCGGCCGCGCCGGCCGCGCCCGCACCCGTCGACGCCGGAGCGTCCCCGTCCAGAGACGCCCGCGCCGGGCCACCGTCCGTCGCCGCGGCGGGCCCCGACTCATCGAGCGACGCCCCCGGGGTGTAAAACCGCAGCGCCCCGCTGCCGGCGCGCGACGCGCCGCCGCCGCTGCTGCGCACACTGCGCTGGCGGCCGCCAAGGGAACCGATGCGCGAGAGCGTGCGGAGCGGGTGGCGCAGCGCAGCGGCGACGGCGGAGGGCGCGCTCGAGGCGGCTTGGGACTCGACATCGCCACCGCCTGCTGACTGGTGGTCATCGCCGTCATCGTCGCTGCTGGTTGACACTACTGCCCGTCGGATATGTGTTCGGAGGGTGATGAGGTGGATCCAGCAAAGTGTTGTGGAAAATGCAAGCATTGAGAGGCGCAAGAGCCTCCACAAGGGAATCGCAAGCCCCAGGCTGGTTGGGAGTGCTCAGATCGCACGCATACATGCACACGCGCATATCCATGTCCGTGCAATCGAAGTCTGAGCGTGCGCGTGCTCGCGCAGCTTGGGTGTGCACGCAAGCACGAGGTGCCTGCGGACGCGAGGGCCAGGGTCATGCGGTGCGGACCTTCGGTCTTGCGGAACACCTCCTCAACTTCCTGAGACATGTCCACCTCAGCAGCAACCTGGGGATTGGCCAACAGCCGCAAGCAAGGGGTTCGTGGGTGCAGCGGGCATGGGTGGTGCTGCTGCGACTGGTGGCGCCGCAACCCTGGACCCAAATTTGGGATGGGTGCGCCTCCGGACCGCCTGCGGCGCACCGCTGGGCAACGCCACGCGTTGCCTATGCAATGACTTGCCACGAAGCTTTGTGCAGACACACCGTATGTACATTGACAAGTCACACGCGCGGGCACGCATGCAGTTGCAAGCACGCGCATGCTGACACCCGCAGGCGTGCAGGCGTGTGTCACACGCCAGCCCACCTGCGTCCAGTCAACGCCCCTGAGCATCTCGTCGTCATCCTGCTGCAAATCAACCAGCGCCTGACGTGTGTACGCAGCCACTGCTGCTCGCGCTCGCCTGTGTGCGCATGTGCATGTGCATGTGCATGTGTGTGTGTGTGTGTGTGTGCGTGCGTGTGTGTGTGTGTGTGTGTGTGTGTGTGTGTGTGCGTGCGCGTGCGTGATGGGGGTGTTGCGTCCATCCCCGCACGCGCATGCGTGCGTGTATGAGCGTGCTTGCTCGCATGCGAGTGGGTGTCCATGTCGACAACGTCGAGGGTGAAAGGTGGAGCCGACAAGGAGTCAAGTGCAAAGAGTAATTGCTTGCTGTAGTGACCCTTGTGCACTGCCAGGCGAGCGCCCCGTTGCACAAACAACAGGCGCGGTCGCGCGCGTGCGCCTCCCTGCACGACCCGCGGGCGGCCCACTTGTGCATGTGGCGCTTGGCGGGTGTCGATTTGTTGAGGTGCAGCGCCGTCATCAAGGGGCCCAGCAAGGGGGCGTTGACGACCAGGGAGAACAGGACGATGCCTGCAGTCCACAGCACCATGGACGCGCGCACGTGCTGGGCAGGTAGAGGGAGACAAAGAGAGGCGCCGCGTTGCGTCGCGAGGAGCCGCCGTTGCCGCGGAGGGTCGTGTGCGACAGTGACGCAAAGACGCACACGGGGTCACGCAGGACACAGCCGGGCTTTGGGGCGCCAACGGGGTCGCAGCTGCCCCCCCCCCCCCCCCC